ATTTTTTTGTGTCAAAAATATAAAATCAAAATAAATTTAAATAAAAAATCCAAAAGTTTTATTTCTTTTCTTTTATTTTATTTATTATTGTTATCATTATTATATTTTTAACATGTATTTATTTTAGCGTCAATGGCTGTATATATAGAGATAAAATTAATAGAAATGAGGGCAGCTGTCAGCTCTGCGTTGCGATTGACCTGTATGCCACACACGCGAATACTCACACACATAAACACACACACACACACGCACGCGCGCACACTATAGACATTAGTGAAAAACTAATTTGTTAAGGCTCGCCCCTAATACGGTTAAGTACACATGCATAATTCAATTAAAAATATATTTATCATTAACATGAGCTCAAATGGTGCATAGTAAATCATATACATATATGTGTGCGGAAATATTGAGTAATGGAAACATATCAATTTGGAACCGCTTCTGAGGTAGGTCTGCTCCCAGTCGAATATGACCCCAGCCAAGCAAAACGAATTGAATATTTGAGTAATGTAAATATACATTTCGATTGTCTGGCAGACCTATTTAACCCGATGCTTTGCACTCTTGGCCCAAAGAGCAGCTGCAGTTGGCAGCTCCTATAGTTAGCTTCTTTTTTGTTTTTTTCCTGGTTTTGCTTCTTTTTGGCTTTTACCATTCGAACGGTTACAACATTTTCCAGAAGCCACAGCCCCACAAAGACCGCAAACGGCTTCGGGTATTGATAATTATGAACCTTCTTGAATGTTGGCGGCAGTTTGTGTTTGAAATAATTCGTGAAGGAGTCGCAGTTTCGTGGCTAAAACAATTGGTAGTCAGTCAACTTAACGCGAACTGCGAAACTGGCCAATTTTATGCTTTTTTCAGCCAGCCGAATCGTGGCCAGCGCTTTTTTCTCTTCTCTCCTTTTCATACAATTTGTAAAACGAAGACGGACAATGGACATTGTACACTGAGATTGGGTATAGAAAAGTGTGGATACTCTGAAACGTATCAATTAGGATATAGAAATGTAGATTGTTAAATATATTTAATCTATATAGATTATACAAAAATGCAATAGATATAGGTGTAGACTGGAGAGAGTTTGATGAAAGAGTGGATGTGAAATGAGATTATGAACTTTGGACGAGTACGAGGATTTTACAAAGGAAGAACAGTCTGGCAGATTCTCACACATACATTTTAATATAATTGCCAATTTGAGGTCTTAAAGAGGCTTTAGATTTTCATGTTGATAGTTAAACCCAAAGTCCCAGAGTAAAATTCTTGAAAAAAAAAAAAAAAAATAATAATAATAATAAAAAATAAAAAAATAAATAATAAATAAAATAATTGAATAAAATAAAATACAAAAATTAAAAATTTTAATAATGATAAATAATTAAAATAAATAAATTAGAGTATTCCTTGGCATATTGGAATTTTCAAAATAATTAAGAGAGTATATTATATATATATATATATATATATATATATTAATTTATTATATATATATATATATATATATATATATATATATATATATATATATATTTTTTTTTTTTTTTTTTTTACAATTTTAAACTGATGCAATTATTTTGGTATTTATTTATTATATTAATATATTATTTGCAATATTGTCATAGTCTCTGTTCGCTTAGGGTATTGAGGTGGATTTACTGCGCGCATGCAGCTCCTAGGAAATTATCTTGTCAATGGCTGCGCTTCAATTGCGGTCCAGTGTTTTACATGGGCTGGGCTGTGCCCATGTGGAGCCCATGTGCACACGGCGGTAGCGGGAGGGGAATGTAAGTGAAGGCAGCTACCAGCTTGAGCTTCCCTTTTGGCGAACAGGCTTCTTTTTGAGGTGTGTTCCTGCTGTTTGCATGCGATACTCGCTGAGCAGCCCATCGCAGCGCATCGCATCGTATTCGTGCAATATTTCTTCTTCATTTGTTGGCATAATTTACATATGGTTATGTAAGCCGAATCCGACTGCGGCATGTTTTATTTAATTGCCAAAATCCAGCAAATGGCCAAATGGAGAAAGATCCGTCAATTGGGCACAGCAAAAAGCTAGCCTAATTCAGCACTCCATGGAGCGATTACTTTGGGATGGGTGCGTATCTGTTGCCCAATTTGTTGGCCATTTCTCGGTCACAGCATGAGAGCAGCGCAATAATTGGTAAACAAATTCTAAATTAACATAAGCCCAATGACGCGTTCAATCGAGCACTTTCCAATTGAGTCAATGCTTTCGACCGTTTAGAGAGAAAGACATGGCACATTGTTATATTTAGTATATTGGCAATAAAAGTTCTATTGATTTTGCTCTCGCACCCATTTCCCTCCGCGAAACCGGCTTTGGGCTCAAAACAAAACTTGACAAACGTTTTTTATTTATTTATTTATTTTTTTTTGCTATAAATAAATCTGTGTCATCAACAAAAGCGGGCCAACAAAAGCCGATTTGAATACATATTCAAGCCATTCATGATTATGCAATTTATAAAATTAAGTGAGAATGTCAGACACGCAAACTGCGTTTTTGTTGTTGTTGTTTTGGATTCTTTCATTTATTTCATAGTTGTTTCACTTCGATTTGGCTAATAAACTCGCTTTAGTTCTATGTAAAAAATTAAACTTTCCCAGCATAAACAAATGATTCAGGCAACGAACTTGGCCGCCAGCATTGGAAAATGTCATGCATAAATATAGTAATAATGTTTTGAGCCCTGCCTAATTAAGTGCGCCTCATAAATATTCAAAATCACTGATTGATCGAGAAGTATTGCAGCTATCGCAGCTCCATCGCAGCCATCGTAGTTCCATTTCGTGTTGGGATGCTATTAAAGCGCAGTCGAGTTTGATTCTAAGCGGTCACTGGATGTTGCAAAATCACTCTCACAATCTTATATTCAGAAATATATATAGATATATATGTAAGTAGGAATTGGCGGCTGTGTGAGCGCCATAACCACTTATTATTTTAATTAAATTTTATGATAAAGACAAAGCCAAACAGCCGCCCAATTGTCAATGGCAAAAGCCAAAACAAATGTGCTTGTTATACCCTGCCTAGCTGATAGTTGTTGCAATGGGTAGATGGATGGATAGAGTGAGAGAAAGAGACTACAGACACGGAAATCAATTAAATTGCTTTGGTCGTAACTCTGATGTCCAAGTAACAAAATCTTTTCCGGTAAAAATAAAAATTGACACAATGAACTTGGCCATGAAAATAATAGTAAATTTTTAAACGCCACTTAGGTCTTTTACAATATTAAACTAAAATAAATCAAAGTACTCCATTGTACTTATAATTTTAATTTATTTATATGGGACTTATTAATTTTAATACAATTTTAGTATACTAAATAGTTGTTTTTTACTACTTTAGTTAAATTATTATAATTTTTTTTAATTAATTTATATTATTATTTTTTTATTAAAAAAGAGTGAAATAAATTGATATTGAAATTGAAAAAAATATTTTTTTCATAAATTTTTGGTATACAAAAGTGTTTTTATAGATTTTATTTATACTAAAATACTCTCTGCTTAATACAATTCATCTCCCTTACAGGGTAGCTTTAGTCGATGGCAGCTCGTCTTTTTGTTGCAATTATGCAATTGTTTAGCTTGGCCCGCGCTGGTTAGCTTCTCGCGTTCTCGACGTCAGCTGCTGCTGCTGCCGCTGGATCTATGCAAATTCTATGTCTTTATGCCGAAGCGAAATAATTATACATACAGCTGTAGTTATCAGCAAATTGAAACAACAGCCGCAACGAGTAGACCTTAGGACCCCCGAAAATCTATCGTCGATTGCAGCAACGCCCACGATTTTGGCCAAGTCAAATGCAAGGCAAAACAATAACAACAACAACAACAACAACGACAACAGCAGCAGCAACAATGTTGTCTCTTGCCCTTCAATAGCAGCGGCAGCTGCTTGGCATTGTTATTGCTGCTATTGTTATTGTTGTTGTTTTTGTTGCTGTTGCTGCTGCTGCTGTTGTGCAGCATGATAATGCAAACATTATGCACTTCATTTCATTTGGATTGAAGATTGAAGTAGCTGTTTTTTCTCTTTTCAATACCTCAATTAACTCATTATGCGCATGCGCAACTTCTGTTTAGCCGAAAATCTTGCAGCTTTGTTTGCCCAAGATGTCTATCACACCAGAAGCTTACACGACCATTTTTTAGCATCTGAGATTTCACATCTCGTGAGCAGGGATAGTCGCTTGTTTCTAGTTAAGAAATCGTGAGTGGCTGGCAAAAACAGTTCCGTTTTAATGTTGCGCTTGAGTTAATTGGTATTGTTATATTAAAACCCAGAAAACTCGTGAAAGCGAACAATATTTACAATATATAGATATTTAAATGAACAAACCTAATGTTAAAGTAGTGCTAAAGCTGCAGAGCTACGTCATATATATATGAGAAGAATGTAAACTTCTTCGGATGATGCTGGAACCAGAACAAATATTAAGAATCAAATGTTGGGAGTGCTCGACTGGAAGATACTCCAGCCATTATTTATTAAGTAAATTCCAGTATACATGACTTTTTTGTCACGTAAAAATTACCTTACCATAATGCTTGCGTTTGCAAAAGGCCAAGTATAAATAATTAGTATTCATTGCAGGCACTTACATATATTAAAATTTCGACTGCAGTGAGTTTTTAAAAACTCCTTTATCTGTAATACATAATTCGCATGCTTTTGCATAGCTTCTGCTTTATGTTTATTTATATTCCACATCATTTTACGTGATATTCTGCTATAGGATTTTAAGAGATATTTCACTTATGTTTTTCGTTCAGTCTAATAAACTTATAAAATCTTTTAAGGTTTTCTTTTTTTTTTTTCAAATATATTATTTAGGCTCGAAATATATTAGGTAGATTCCATTTCTAACAATGAATTAAATATTTTAATCTTTTCAATCGTTTGATTTAAGTTTAAGTTTGATTTAAACGTGATCAACATACAAATAAATTATCTTTAGTTTGCAGATGAACTTAAAATTTATTATATTATTTTAAATAATTGCGTGTGCGATTGTCATATAAGAAAATTTCAGCTGTGCCTAGGCCAGAGGCACCATTCATTCGATATCCACTTCGCTAAGATATTTTGCATCCCAGGCAGCCATGAAATCTCAGACTGCACGCTGTGTGTAAGATATGGTATACTATTAGTAGCCATCTGAGAGTTGCATTGAGCTCGTCTCATAGTTAGGAGTTTGCAATGTAGCTAGAAAATAATGTAAGGGGATTCATGTCAAAATTGACCCGGGACAACGATAGTCTCGATCTTCACGAGAGACATTTGCCCGGTGGCATATATATTCAATATATTCAAACAAATCAGGAACGACCCGATAGTTCAGTTATTGTAAAGGATGCCAGATATTGAATAAATGAAATTCACTGAATTCGAATGACAACGGTATCATGTTGGGCTCTACGCAATTTAAAGGTCCGATTATATCTGCAAATACCATAACATATAAAAACTTTTGTTATTTTCATGAATAAAGGCGAGTATTTACCGTTACTTTACATTGAGGTTTTCCGAAAAAATTTACTTGTTTTCGCTAGTATGTTCAAAGAGGCTATCCAGATAAATCGTTTACGTTTGTAGAGGATTCTCCAATTCCAACGGCTCGTCGATTTGATGAGACATTTGCTTGCCGAACATCGTGCTGTCAGGCCTTGCCATTGGCAGCTGCTTTCCCGGTATGCTCTCTGTCGTATGCTCGCGACTGTGCGGGAGCTGCCTGAGGTGCATTATTTTTGTATCGCAGTTGGCGAAGAGGCGACACCACGCTGAGGGCCAATGGCAGCGGCACGGGGGAACGTGTTCCAGATTGTCGTTAGTCTTTGGCAGCATTCTCAGGCCGGAGTGGCGCATTTGCCTCAGCCTGGCCACATCCTCTATCGCAATAATCAGTGTGAAGATCATCAGCGCACATAATGTGCCCATTACAAGGAAAAAGAGAGCATTCTGCAGCACTGCCTCTATGCAGTTGACAAGCTTCGACCGCAGTCGGCTGCCCCTTGAAGGCTTCGTCTCGTCTTCCCCGCGCTCCATATTGCGAAAACTAAGAACTGCTTAAAATTTTGTTTACATTTATATATGTAAATACATATGCTAAAAAAAAAAAAAATATATGTTTTTTGTAAAAATCTAAAACCAAATACTAAAATTAACAAACCATGCAAAGAAATGGAATGACTTGAAACTCTGAGAGCCTCTGTTGCTTGTTAAACTAGTTTGAGTGCTCGAGTCGAGACTGCTCGACTAGGACATCCTCTGAACCCTGCAAGGAGCTGATATTCCAATAATTCTCGGAATCTAAAAAAACTCATACACATATACATACGCATGTATACATATGCACGCACAATTAGCAGCGACTGCTGCTTTTAGGCAAATAGGGCGTGGAATCAACAATCTATTATTATCGTTAATAGGAAATCTGAGGAATTATCGATAAAGTACAGTATTTATTGTACTGCGTATGGTTAATACGAGCATACATAAAAATTTCAGCCACACTTAGTTCGTCTCCCTGACCAAGAATATATATACTCTACGGGGTCTGCCACACCTACTTCTGTCTGGTGCATACATTTTCCCAAATGTAATACACCCAGCTTTCCCATTTTCAAAGGGCTTTAAAAGAAGGGAAAGCTGTCATTTGACGTGCACCATTGTCACTTTATTCTACAGATTGACAAGCATTGGCAACGCCAGTATTTAACCATATGTAACCCATTAAAAAAAAAAAAGTAATTCACGCAAAGATTTATGTAATTATTTAAGTATTATTTACAGGATGGGATATTATATCATATTTGTATGTGTAGTTAACAATGTGGATAGTGTTTATATATATTTTTTATAAGGGGTAGATTATAGTTATTTGCGGAAGACATCTTTGGATATGAATCGGGATGCAGCTGTAAAATAGTGGGATGGATATAAATTAATTTTCACATGGCATATTCGAGACTCACCTTATTACTGCCACCGAAACAAATTGAAATCTGGGCGTCAAAACACATGTATTTATAATAGCCATTTGAGAGTTGCATGCTGCTTATCTCATAGTTAGGATTTATGTATAGTTATGTATCTTAAGATTTAGGTATTATTTCTGCGTATGCAAGTGATTGCATATTGTTAATATTGACCCGGGACTATGTCTCAATCTTGACGAGAGACATTTGCCCGGTGGCATATATATATAATTGAACTTCAAACTTTATCAGGAGATACCCGACAGTTCGGAACTTTAAGTGACGCCACAGTTGAGGAGGAAGTTGATGTGCTTAATGACAAGTAAGGTGCAGTTGATTAAGCCGATGTTTCTATTGACAGAATGGTATGTGTGTGAGCCTCTATTTTTACGGCTCTTATTTGTAAGCTGAGAGTAATTAGAATTAGCATATATGTATATACCCACATGGCGATTTGAAATTATATTTACCAACTAGCTGATAACCGAAGACCTATTCACCGGCTGAGGATGGCTCGTCCCGGAGCAGTTGGCTCCCGGTTGAACAGGCGGCACCATTCCCGGGGCCAGAGGCAATCGTAGGAGCGCGGTCGGCGCTTGAGTTCCTGCGCCGTCAAACTGTTGAATGCTGAGAAAAACAGCACAAAAATCAGCGCCGACACCGAGAAACAGATGAGAAATATCAGCAGCTCCCGTAGAAAAACCTTGCAAAGCCCGACGAAACTATCGGGCTCCTCGTCGCCATTGGAACTTCGTTTCAGATTATTCAGCACTGCCATTCCAAATAAAAAAAAAACAAAAAAAAAGTACAAAACTAGTTATTAGCAAAAATTTGATATAAAATAATTCCGAAGCCGAAATAATGAAAACAACTTTGAGTTGAAAATTCCAAAGAAAGAAAGAAACTAAAAATTTTCCACGTCGTATTTAGAATATTATATTTTCAAATGGAATGGGAAAAAATAGTAAAATTTTGTTGGTTACTCATAAAATTTATTTTCTACTAAAATTTGGAAGCCGAAATGTGATGTTAGCTGCTCAATGTGAGCATCTAAAATAACTGAAATATGTTTGCCTCTAGCTTAGGTACCAAATCGTTTGCCGATGAAATCCAGGGCCTACTGTCGTTCGTACATTTTCCCAACTTTCCCTAGCAGCTAGGTGTTGACCGAATCTCCAGCTCAATTTGGTGTAATTGAAGGCCTTTAACGGCATTTTAGCGATCTATTAGACTGGCGTTTGATGTGATTGAATTATTGGACACTTAAATGGGCGTCTCGAGCCCAACTTGCAGATGTCCAATGCCCCCTCTGGCGTGGAAAAGCGTGAAAAACCTTTTTCTTGTTGCCCATTTAGCAGCACTCTCAACACTTCTGCTCCTGACCGTCCCCACCAATGTCCCCTCCACAATTCGAAGACTTCACATATCGTATTATTGCTGCTAATGAAGATGTTGCCCCATGGGACGAGAGCTCTGGCGTTTTATTAGTCCGGAAGTGTTATACTACATGTTGGAATCTGCACATCTCCGACAGTTCAGTGCGATGGGCACTGATAGATGAAGCATGTTAGGGGTAATTGGAGTTTAATTTGATTAAAGCATTGCTGCTTACGTAATGCCCGTTATTTAACAGTTATTTTGAAGGTATCTTTGAGGCCATCGAGATGCAGGCGATAATGAAGCCTTGCAGTAGTCGTAGAGGAGCCATACTTTGGATATGAAATGGTATGTAATGTATTTGTATCTGTATCTCTGTATCTGCATCTCTGTATCTGTATATCTGTATCTGTATCTCTGTATCTGTATCTCTGTATCTATATCTCTGTATCTGTATCTCTGTATCTGTATATCTGTATCTGTATCTCTTTATCTGTATCTGTATCTCTATATCTGTACCTCCGAATCTTTCTTTTAAACTGTGTCTACTACGAGTGCTGCTCCAATATCTTACAATCCCTTCCGCCTTTATGTTTTCCGTGTCTATTGTGCGTATTCAATTCTGATATATGTATTTGTAGTAATAATTAATTATGGATGCATTAATTTAATAACCGGAAAATATTTGTAGTACAGCGGAAAGAGTAACAAAAGTAAGAACTATTAAGCAGACGTATCTTTTCCAAATCTCCGATTATTTTGATTTCATTAAAGTAATTTTTGAAACCTCTTTCAATGGCTGCTGGCATTCAATTACGCTGGCTGTTATATCACCCAGTGCACAGGCCGCGAGTGCAATTTAAGTGCAAGCCAAGTGCTGATAAGCAGCAGCAGCCCGGGCCTCAACAATAGCAGACAGGGAATCATTGCACAATCAGTCCACAAAGCGACTCCACGGAGACCCAAAGAGCGACTAACCCAAAAAAAACCAAACCAAAAAAATAAAAATTGTCGTAATACAGTTTACCCAGCTTTGAGCTTCTAAAAAGCGATGTCTGTCTGTATGTGTGTGTGTGTGTGGGAAACGACAAATAAATTACAACAATGCTTAAGGTCAAGTGATTTGTGCAGAAAATAAGGCATATAGAAAAACATATTGTTTTGGGCTAGCCATGGCTGCTCTTTTTCTTTGTCGTTTGTGTTTTTGTTTCTGTTTTTTTTTTTTTTTTTTTTTTTTTAAATTTTATTTGATAACCAAAGAAATGAATAGGCCCGGCCCGGCAAAGGAAACGTGGCTGACGCTCAAAGCGCTTGGGGGTCAAATGCCGTTAAGGTAACGATCGAGCGACTTGCTGTTGGATCATCACATTTCAACACCATCCCAACACGTGGTTAAGTCTTTTGCCTTAAGAGCAGCCGTCGCGACGTCTTAAGCAAAAAGAAGAAGAAAAAAAAAATTGATTGCCACTTTGGAAGGCCGTTTGGCTGCCGTATGAATCAAGAATGTCTGGCAACTGCAGACAGCCCCAGCTCGAGCCCAGGCCAATTGCCTCTGACATTAGCCCCATGGCTCTTCTGGGAGTGCCGACTGCCAGTAAAATGGGGCGTCAGTTGGTACTCTAGCTGCTCCATTAATTATATTCGCATTAGTTGCCAAATCATTGACTTGCAGAAGGCTCGTTGCAAATGGTGAGAACAAATGGATAGATGGATGATTTTGAAAACTCTTTTGTTTTTTAGTTTTGTTCTTATTTAATTGAGGCTAATAGAGCAGACCATTTGCCCCAGCTGCAGCTCCATTTTCAAAAGAATCTTGGCCTTTTCTCATATTATGTGACCGCATTAAGTAATCAGCCTGTGTTTCTATAAGGTATTTTCCTTTGCATAATTGAAAAAAAAAAAGTTTTAACAACTTGAAATTTGTGTTAGTTTTGTAATTTTGCTCGCGTGCACAACGTCAATGTTTGTTTTTTAAAATATTTTTTGTACCGTTCCTTAAAAAAGTAAAGAAACAAACAACAACAAAACATTATCACAAGCAACGTGATTTCCGGAAGTTAAAGCGCAACAAAGGCGCCTGCGCAAATGTCGTCGCTGTCGAATTGATTGTTGTTGTTGTAGTTGTTGTTGTTGTTGTTGTTGCTGCTGCTGCTGCAACGAAGAAGCTAAAGAAGAAAGTCGTGCGGCAACAGCTGCCGCAGTTGCAACTGTAGCCTCAGGTTCCATGTCGCACGTCCCACGTCCCACGTCCCACAGTCATCCTGTTTTTCGTGCGAATAATGTCATTTGTGTTTGTTTTATAACCAAAATTACAACAACTTGGCCCAGTCAAGCGACAAGGGAGCCCAAAATAAACATGCAGCCAGCATAATTGTCGAGTTGCTCAAGTCAGCTGCAGGCGGGGGGTAGAGTCAGCATTTGGTAGCTGCTAAAGTTCACTTGCACTTGGGGCTGAGTTCAGAATTTTTGCATATCTGGATAATTGATGATGGATAATTGATGGCTTGGCCACTTAAAGTGTGGGGGCCAGCTCGTGTTTGGGCCATATACGGGTGCCACGTGGCGCAGCTGACAGGCCAGCTACAATCAGAGATTGGCCACGGACGACGGCTAGACCCCACGAAATTGGCTGACAACCAGGTAACAATTTCGAAGGCTTAGCTTGGCTTTAAGCAAACACCTGTCTACAATTTAATGTGGGTCTGTGCAGTTCCTCTTTGCAATTGCTTTCGTTGCAAATTGCTTAGCTCTGTGGGTGGCAGGTGTGTCAGCTGCCAAAGGGGACCGAAGAAAGAATATAATCCTCACAAGCTAGTTTCAAGAATGCGACAAAAAGGCGTGAAGAAATCAAATAGATAATAATAATGTATAAGAAAATCGCAATTATATGTAAATGAATTTCTCTTTTCGAATAGTTGGCAACTCACTTTTACAGGGAAAGTTGTTACAGCAAACTCTATCTATAAATATGAATGATTTGTGTTTCTATGTTATGCCCACACATTTCCCCTGAGTCATCAATCATTTGCTAAGAACTCAACAGAACCAATACGATGATTACATAAGCCCAAGTCAAGGTCAAAAACTTACTTGGGTAAGGAAAAGAAATAAGAATGATCTCATCGGGATTGATCGACTGGAAGCTACCCTAAGCAATGCAACCAACTTTCTTGAAGAGTTGCATAAGTTTTCTTCATATATATATAGCTTTCTATAATAAAATATGACTACATTTCATAAGAGTACGTATATCATTTATAACCATTATACCTGTCGTTTCTTTCTTAAGGTATGAAAAGTATTTTGTTTGTTTGTGATTCCTTCCAACTCTTATTGCCAATAGATTAATTTCGTATTAAGCTTTTGTTGGTTTCATGGAATTCCTATAGAAACACAGCTGTCATTGGCCGGCGTAAATTAGAATTGAAGAAAATAGAAAATAGAAATCCATTAAATTGAAAGTTATCGTCAGCTAATTAGTTGTTAGGCCCAGCCCGGCTCGAATGGTTCTTTTGGCCTCTGGACCGTTCTTTTCTCGGCCATTCTTTGATCATGGCTAATTTTATGCCTCTCGCCGGACTTTTAGTATTGGGCAAGTCGCAGTTCTTTCGAAATTGGAGCCTCCGAGTCTGGCATTTAATTAATGTTCTAACATCAATTTATGTTTTCGCTGTTTCAGTTGAGACTCTATAAGAAATTATTTTCGGCTACCTGTCGTGACTTAATGACCTTTTCGAAGCTGATGCCTGGCATCAACTTAAGTTATATTAATTATTATTGGCAGACGTTTTACAAGGCAGTCGACACGAAAATAATAAAAAAGCAAGTAACATTTTAGCAGGTGGTCGGTAGTGCTCGACTGCCACATACACTGCTGATCAAATGTTGGATGAAAGTCAAAAATTAAATAGTTAAAAATAATATATTTATATTTGGTATATACTAAAATATACTAAAACCAGGAAGTCAAGTACAGCTCTATATACCTTTCACATTTGAGAGACAGGGTATTTCAGAGAGCTTCAATGAGTCTCTGTGTTAATTGCAGCTTAATTTTCTATGCACTTCAATCGCCGGCATCTAATTAATTATAAGTCTAGTTCTTTAAATGGCCAAAAACCTGTACCGTCTATCCCGATTGTCCGTCCGCAGTTCACCGAAGGTCATTCGGCATACCGGACAAATTGTCTGCGCTGTCTGTGCGCATCCGTGAGACAGATTCAACAATTGCCAATTAACGCAGAGTCTTTGAGGCACTGCCTTGATGAAGTCTTCACAGCTTCCAGCTCTTTGCTCTCCGCTCTCCGCTCTCAGCTCAGGTCTTTATGCACTTCACAGCTGCTGCTCATCGCTTGACCTTTCAATTAATCATGGTTAATTTATTTGTGCATACATAAAACAATTTTTCCAGTTCCAAGACGAAGCGAGGTGTTTCTTCTGATGTTGAACGGTAGCTGCTTGTCAGCTCGTCTAGTTCTTCATATTCCACACAAGTTTTGATACGAGCGTCTATCTATTAATTTTCACACCAACGGCAGGTCTCGAACTGAGCCCCAAACAAATGCTTTGCATATCTGAATAATTTAGTGTTTATTATTATTTTGTTTGTATTTGAATAAATGCATATGAAACTAGCTTATGCGTGTTTCCATTTAGGGTTTTAAAGAGTTCACTCAACCCTTTCTTTGGCACACACAAAAATTCAAATTGAATTATTTGTATTCAAATTTAAGCAAATTCTAACTATGATTTATTATTAAAATAGAAGGTTATATAAGTTTTTGTTACTCTATTGCATATTCTATATGTATATATATATATAACTGTCAGACTTGAGTGTATAACTGTATAGCTTTTGATTAGGTCATCTGATCTGAAAGTAGACTAACGTTTCATCTTTTGGAAAGAGAATCGGCTTACTTTAATAATTATTTAACAATTATTTTTACTTGGCCAACCTTTTGCGCCCACCTTTCTATTAATAATCTTTCTGAAAGTTCAACTCTGTTGCTTATGTAATACTGAACAAAGGCAATGCGTAATTCCCAAAGCTCCGGCTTCTATTTACAATACGCGCCTGCGGCGATTCGCAAAGGTAGCGCCACGAAATTAGAGCATATAAATAGTCGAAATTATTTATAACAATTGCAACAATTGATTTCTAGCGAAGAAGAGCGGACAATGGAAACGTCGCATCATTGGAAACAAAAATCAAAAATCATAATAAATGAAAACGATATTTGCAATGACACAATAAATAAATCGAGAAACAATTTTTGGGTGGCAATTGTGTGAATTATTTCACTCTCAATTTCAGGCGTTATCAATAGAGATCACTGGGTGAGTGGAATAATAATAAAATGCTCCGGATATGGCTACCATTGCCACACACACACATACACCCACACACAAAGGATGACATTTTGCATTGCAAATGGCCTATTAATGGCCAGTGGGCGCATAGGCCGGGCTCAGACAATGGCCGGCTGCTTATTTAGCTGGCAGACGGAGCACTTTCTTTAAACAATCGAAAGCAAACAATCGAAATTTGTGGAACCACAAATCAAACACTCACAGCAATGAGAAATCGCTAGCATTAGTCTCAATTGTTTGGCACTTTTTTTATAATACATATTTTCGAAGCGAGAGCGATCGAAACTGCATTTGGCCACACACAAAGTGAATGTGCCTAATCCACCTAAAGAGATAGAGTATTATACGAATAGATATTAAATATGTAACGAATTATTGATTGGATTATGTATTTTTAGATGATTTCTACAATGTCATTTTACTTAAATTAATAGAATTTCATAGTAAATAATAGTAGACATTAAACGATCAAAATATTCTAAAGAAAATTGCTCTGTACAACTTCAAGATCATCTATTTAAAAATCTGGGCGATAATTAAGTATGATGATAATTATAAATATTAATAATAATAATAATAATAATAAAGAGAATTGTTTTTGGGGTTCTAAGAAACAGAATTCTTTTTATAATAATTTATGTGTTATTTTTATATGTAAATCACATTTTTTATTTTAAGTTAAATTTTTTAAATTGAAATGTAAATTTTTTTAAATTAAAATGTTTTTTTTTTTTTTTTTTTTTAATTAATGTCGTTTTTCATTTATAAAATATATATGTATTTTTTAAATAAAAATATTTTGTTTAATAATAATAAAGAGAATTGATTTTTGGGTTAACAAACATAATTATTTTTATAATAATTTATATGTTATTTTTATATGTAAACTAAATTTTTTATTTTAAATTAATTTTTTTAAATTGAAATATTAAATTTTTATTAATTTATATTTTAATTAATTTTTGTCTTTTTCATTTATAAATAATTTTTATTTTTATTTTTTAAATAAAATATTTATTTTGTTTAATAGGTAATATTTTTAATTTTTATTTTTTTTATCCATATTGATAACTAAGCTGTTAGGGTATTAAGTCTTTCATTTCTGCCTTTATAATTGAGTTACTTCTGCTTCCGGCAAGTCATCCGCGGTGGGAGTCTCTGGGAGCTGTGTGCACTAGGTCAATATAAGTATATAAAATATGCGCTTATCCAGCCAATCAGCGGCTGCAATTAGCTGAAATTGCATTTAAGTACTCCTAAGTGCAAGCTAAAAAGAGAATACAAAAAAAATCCAAGTGTTACAATTCTCCTCTCGTTGTGGTTAAATTTCCGCTTGTCAGGCACTGGGAAAACGGCTCCCAGTCGAAAGCTGACGTTTGGAAAAACGTGTGAAAATTATGAAATTGCATTTGCAATGGACTGCACTCCCGAAAAGGCAGCTGCAAGCCGCGCAAAGTGCGGTTAATTGTGGCTTTTGTTGGTCTTCTATGGCCGCTTGGAATACAATTTATCATCAGCGGCAGATCGGCTGCGATCGGGGGAGATTTGTGTGTCCTCCCTCTGTCATAAAGCTCACTTTTGAGCGTGCACATCCCTCCACATTTCGTACAGCCGAAACAAAACCCAAATAAATAATTTCTCGGAATTAATGTGTCTTTGTTTGTTTGTTGATGCGAATTCATTAATTCGCATTTATCATTTCATAATCGCAAAACGTGTCTACCAAAATATTGTTTTCTGGCCAAGTTTTTCTCTGCTGTGATGCCAACTGCAAGCTGCATTGTATTTTTAAAAGATTTTTTTTGTATAGTTGTAAATCTCTTTAGATTGGCGTTCATTATATTTTTTTACTACATGTCAACCTAAAGGCCTGATTTTATTTATATAAAACTTGCTGTCCTCTGTCACGTATTACTGAGGAAAACTTTAGATGCATCGATAAGAAATGAGGAGCAAAATAAGGCATATATATAAATATAAAGCTATGAATTATATAAAGCTCGATAATGCAGTAATGAGAAAATGGAAAGCAAGTAAAAGTCAATGTGTAAAGTTGGTAAAAGTTTTTATATGTTACATTATATTATTTAATGTTGATTTATTGGTGGAATAAATAACAGTACTATATGGATAAAAATGTAAAAAAAAAATAAAATGGGAGTAATTTATATTTTTTCTACCCATCTGTTAAACAAAGCAAAATGTTACCTTAATTGTTCGACAAATGAACAACTCAGCTCAAGCACAATGCGATCCCATAAAGCTACATTGAGTCTGATGAATATAAATAGCTCTTGCTTTGAAAATTGAATCTTTTATCTATCGTTTTGTCAAATTTGCGCCTCAAAATATTAGTCTAAACTTATTATTTTTTTCCTGATTGTTTGAAATATATAAAATAATATTATTACCTATTTTAAAATTTTGTTTACTTTATTTGTTATTAATTCTATATTACGACTTATATTATTATTATATAATTTGTTTATTTATTTTATTTTTTTGCATAGTAACTATTATATTAATTACTATATTAGCTAG